GGCGCGGGGCGCCCGCTCCACGTTCCTCACCTCGCGGTGCCTGAGAGTCGGCCGGCACCGCGCGGGCAGGGAGGGCCCGGGGCGCTGTCACTGTCCCGCGGCCTCAGTCCGAGCAGCAGTGTCCCCGGCTTTCCGCTCCGTCGCCCTGTCTCTCTGCCCCGTGTCTCTGGGTCTCCTCTTTCTTTGTCTCTCTGTGTGTTTCTGTGTCTCTGTCTCTGTTCTCTCTCTGTCTCTGTGTCTCTGATCTCTGTCTCTGTGTCTCTGATCTCTGTCTCTGATCTCTCTGTGCCTCTTATGTCTCTCTGTCTCTGATCTCTGCATTCTCTCTGTCTGTGATCTCTCTGTGTCTCTGATCTATGTCTCTCTGTTCTATCTCTGCCTCTATTCTCTCTGTGTCTCTGATGTCTCTGTGTCTGTTCTCTGTCTCTGACCTCTGTCTCTGATCTCTCTGTTCTCTGTGTCTCTGATCTCTGTGTCTCTGTTCTCCATGTCTCTGATCTCTCTCTGTCTCTGTTCTGTGTCTCTGTCCTCATGTCTCTGATCTCTTTCTGTCTCTGTTCTCCGTGTCTCTGATCTCTTTCTGTCTCTGTTCTCTGTGTCTCTGATCTCTCTGTTTCTGTTCTCCATGTCTCTGATCTCTCTCTGTCTCTGTTCTGTGTCTCTGTTCTCCATGTCTCTGATCTCTCTGTGTCTCTGATCTCTCCGTGTCTCTGATCTCTCTCTGTCTCTGTTCTCCGTGTCTCTGATCTCTCTCTGTCTTTGTTCTGTGTCTCTGTCCTCCGTGTCTCTGATCTCTCTCTGTCTCTGTTGTGTCTCTGTTCTCCATGTCTCTGATCTCTTTCTGTCTCTGTTCTCCATGTCTCTGATCTCTCTGTGTCTCTGTTCTCCGTGTCTCTGATATCTCTCTGTGTCTCTGATCTCTGTGTCTCTGTTCTCCATGTCTCTGATCTCTCTCTGTCTCTGTTCTCCATGTCTCTGATCTCTCTCTGTCTCCGATCTCTCTGTTTCTCTGTTCTCTGTGTCTCTGTTCTGCCCCTCACCCCCTTTCTTGGTTAGTATCTTTCTCGCCTCTTCTCCCATTTCTTCTGTCACTTTTTTCCTCAGACTTCTCTTCCCATCTCTGGATCTGTATGTCTGTCTGTATCTTCCTGTGTCTCTGTCTCAGTCCCTGTCATGTCCCCAGAGTCTCGCTGGTTCAGGCTCTCCATGTCGCTTTATCTCTAGGCCCTTCTTGGATTCCCTGACCCTTCCTTGTGCTCTCTCTGTCTCGGTCTCTCCCGATGTCTCTGCCTCTGTGGCTGTGTCTCGCAAGGATCCCCTGTATCTCTTGTCTCCTTGTTGTCTTCTCTTCCACTCGCTCTGCCTCTCCCTCACTCTCTGGTCTGAAGAACTTAACTTGTATCCCTGTGTCTCTCTGTCATTGCCCCTGAGTGTCCTCACCAACCTCAAGTCAGTACTACAGACACTCTAAAGCACCCTTGGACAAGTCCACGCACGGAGAAGAAGTGTGGCCTCAGTGAAGGAATTCAGTACTACCCCTACAAGATAGCTCCTGTGTTTGCAGTGCGTAAGGAGCCCTGGTGGCGCAGTGGTTAGGCCCTCGCCTGCTAACTCAAAGGTTGGTAAAATGATGAACACTTTGAACTCACCAGCCTACTCCTCAGAAGAAAGATGTGTCAGTCTGCTCCCTTAAAGACCACAGCCTTGGCTTCCGTATGCATAAATATGGTCGCCGTGCGTGCACACATACACACACATGCCACCCCCAACAGACACACACACACACACACACACCACCCCCAACACAAACACACGCAGCACAGCCCCCTCTTGGTGGGACCTACCCCAAGACACTTCCTGTTTCTCTCCTGGGGGTAGCCTAAGCCTGGCTACCTGGTCGCAGCAGTTGTGGGGGGTGGGCAGGGGAGGCCTTGGATCCAGAATCTTGGCTCTGAGGAAGGAGGGAGCTGGGACCTAGTCTCCTGGATCTGAGGGAGAAGGGGGTTTGGGGACATGCATTCCTGGGTCCCTGGGGAAGAGAGGGTCCAGCCCCCATGAGATCCATGACTCCTGCCAAGGCCTGCAGTTGGGAAGGATTTATTACCACTAAGTGGCCATGACAGAGCAGTGGAGGAGGGGGCACTAACGAGACTGCTACAATCAGCTCCCCTTGAGGCAGCGATTAAGGGCTCATTACCCGCCAGGGAGGGAGCAGGGAGCCTGGGAAAGAAAGCAGGGGGAGGATGCTGGGAGGGTTCGTAGAAGGGAGTGAGGACAGCGCAGAGAAGACCAGCTAGCAGCCCGGATGCTTGGGCAGGTCCAGGAGACCTGGGAGGGAGAAGAGGGCTCCAGGACACTCCAAGGAAGTGATGACCCCCAGGGAAAGGGTGAAAGGGACAGAAGAAGGTTGGGGGTGGGGTGAGCCAAGACACTAGAGGTGGGAACAGAGCAGGCAGCCAGGGTCACGGCTTCTCCAGCTGGGCGTCTCCCACGTGGAGGCTGCCCACGTCCTGGTAGGTGCCCTGGAGGCCCCTGGAGATGTCCTCATACATGGAGCAGTCGTCCAGGTTTAGGCCCTGGGGTGGATATGCAGTGGTGGTGCACGTCAGTGCCTGACGCCTGGGGTCCCGCCCCACGCCCATCCCCCAGTGCGCCTGCCCGTACCCCGCCCCCACCCCCCACTCACCTCATACAGATTTTCATCCTCGTAGTCGTCCTGGGCATCTATCCTGAACTTCTCATTCTGCCACCGTTTCTGTAGGGGACGAGGTGTCAGGAGCCTCAGTGAGCAAAGGGGAGGCAGACAGACCTTGGGACCCTCCTAGACAGGAAGGGCTGCTTTGCCAGTGTGGCTCCCCTGCATGCTGCCTGCAGCCACCTGGGTGCAAGTTCTCGGCCACTTGCCTTGACAGGAGGGAAAGCAGGCTTAGCAAGGGGAGGTGGGGAGTCATGTTCACACTGGATGAGTGGCAGGTCTCTCTGGGTCCAAAGCTACTGAGTGTCTTCTTGGCTTTGTTATTTGGCATTGTAATTCTCCATTAATAATTATACCACCATACTAACAGTAATAGGTGCTCTGCAGTGGAAGAAGTTAGACTAGGGCAGGTCCCCCTGTGAGAGAAACCCAGTCCCCATCTTCCCCAGCCTTGGCATCAAGGGGCTACAGCACTCCTGGGTGTGGGCTGAGGAGGGTAGGACAGCCTGGTAAGGGAGAGGGAGACACCTGTGGGGGGAGAGGGAGAAACCTGGTGGGGGAGTGAGACATCTGCGGTAGGGGGAGGGGAGAGTGAGGACACTCCTAAGGGGAAAGTGAAAGACTTGCTGGGGGAGGGGAGAGTGAGGACAACCCTGGT